TAGTCAGTGCGTCCTTTATTCTCGCATCAGGCGAGTACGCACAAAAAAAGGTGACTCTACGCTCGACCAGCATTGTAAGGTATCGAAAATATTACACTAAGACGGTAACTACGAATTTCCAAAAATTGAGATATTAATTAGTCAAAGAGGAGGATGCCATTTCTAATAACGAAAGCGAAAAATACATGAGCAATACATGACCGAGAAAAGAAATATTCAGAGTTGAAATTCAATATAATAAAGCGACATATAACGCCGGAAAAAATATAAAAGCCGCAAAGATATTCGATTAAAACAACCAGGCAGACTCTACGGGGAAACGGCCAAGCCGGAGACGCCGGGGCCCTAGGTGTTTCCACGTGGTCGAGAAGAGAATCGGTAACTTAGAAAATATCCGGCAATTCCAAAGCACTAAATTACAGCAAAACGCAATTAATTACCATATATTCGATACAATAGATACTCTACGATAATAAAAGAAAAACTGAATAAGATAACGGTATCCGGCAGTATCGTCCTTTTACTTAGAGGGACTGGAAAGACATTCAGTCCCGGTAAGCGAAAAAATTTGCCGTCGAGACAAAGAGCCTAGACGGGATTACTTCAATTAAATTCACAAAATCTCCGCAATAAAGGTAACGAAAGGTGCTCACTAAATATATTAGATACGGAATCGAGGAAAGCGGTCCTCAGACTTCCTTCCTTCCTTCAATATAATATAATTTTTATAACTCGGTAATCTCAATTGTTCGAATCCGGCTCGTCTTTGTTCACTCGTAATTACTTTTCGAAATCAACCACAGGCTAAGATGCTCCAAACGTAAGTGAACGAGCCGGAATTCGTCGCTAGAGGAAGAGCCCTAGGGGCCCCCCTCCATAAATTAATAATTTCTAATTCGCACGGTAGAGCGATAGCAAAATATAATAATACAGAATAGGTAAATCTAACGCTTGACGGTAGCCAGAGACGAAGCATTAGGCGCTAGAGTCCGAAGATAGGCGGAGAGAGCCGAGCTGAGCGCGGGAATCCTTGATGCGGCCGATCATGAGTCCTCGGTGCGAGCAGCAGGATCCAGCGAAGAGTAGGCCCTGGTTTCTTCTCCGGAGGCCACTGATAACAGGAGCGCTAGGGAACGTTCGGCGACTGCGCGGCACGATAGAGGATTATCCTTTCCTCCTATCGGCGGCACGAGTGGCGAAGGCCCTTTTTTGCAGTCCGTATGGGCGGCCGGCAGAAGTAGTAGAGGGATCCCATCCCGGGTCTCCTTGGCTCCACGGAAGTCCTCCGGAACGAACAGCAGTTTGGTCCAGCCTCTGTCGATCACTCGTCCGGTAGCTCAGGAATTCTCGTTGGCGGTCGGCTTCGTGCTCGTGGTGTTGACGTAGATTCGCCCAGGACGGTAAAGAAGGTAGGCGAGTGCGAATAGGAAAGCTCAAAAAATAAAAATAAAAACGAAAAAAAGCAAAATATAATAATACAGAATAGGTAAATCTAACGCTTGACGGTAGCCAGAGACGAAGCATTAGGCGCTAGAGTCCGAAGATAGGCGGAGAGAGCCGAGCTGAGCGCGGGAATCCTTGATGCGGCCGATCATGAGTCCTCGGTGCGAGCAGCAGGATCCAGCGAAGAGTAGGCCCTGGTTTCTTCTCCGGGGGCCACTGATAACAGGAGCGCTAGGGAACGTTCGGCGACTGCGCGGCACGATAGAGGATTATCCTTTCCTCCTATCGGCGGCACGAGTGGCGAAGGCCCTTTTTTGCAGTCCGTATGGGCGGCCGGCAGAAGTAGTAGAGGGATCCCATCCCGGGTCTCCTTGGCTCCACGGAAGTCCTCCGGAACGAACAGCAGTTTGGTCCAGCCTCTGTCGATCGCTCGTCCGGTAGCTCAGGAATTCTCGTTGGCGGTCGGCTTCGTGCTCGTGGTGTTGACGTAGATTCGCCCAGGACGGTAAAGAAGGTAGGCGAGTGCGAATAGGAAAGCTCAAAAATAAAAAATAAAAAACGAAAAAAGCAGAAAGACGGAATAGAAATAAGCAGAAAGGACGATAGACGGAAATAGAATGCTTAAACGGTAAGCGAGACAAGCAAAGCCGTCTTTGGAATGTCGGGTGACTGACGTTTGGAGGATCGTTGCAGGTGGATTATGTTTGTTCCCTACTCCTAGCAATCTTTGTGACTGAATTTCCGAAATTCACGTCACACAACACACCACTCGAGTTGTACACCTCCCAACGACCCAACAAAAACTAACTTCTCGATCAGACCTCAAGTCCTTTCTCCCCCTTTTCTCCCTCCTTGAAGGTAGTCCTTAATACGACCGAAAAACAACAAACGAGGGGGGGGGGGGATTTTGCCGTAGGATAGTGAGTACTTCGGTATGTTTGAGATTGTCCTTTATACAAGGTGCTTCGTAATTGCCATACACGGTAGGTTAATTCTGGTTCAGGGTGGCCCCCTGAGTAAGAATCCGTAATTCGTTTGGTTCTACGTTCAGTAGTTTTTCTACAAATTGAGTTTACTTCGGCCAATCAGAGGAGAGCTTTAAGCGAGGTGCTTGTGTTCTGTGGTTTGATGGACATGCCAGCTTTTATAACGCAGAATACTAACGATATAATTATTAGAAATATTCATTCCAATGTACAAGTAGCCACCGAAAAATTTTTCCAACAAGCTTGTGCTGAAGAGAAAAATCTGACGTCTAAACACCAAGGCAACGAAAATCCTACAGAATTAACAGTATCTGGAGATGGAACGTGGAAAAAGCGAGGATTTATTTCCTTATACGGCGTGGATATTCATTGAATACTATTCCGGGAAAATCGTGGATATTGTCGTGAAAAGTGCTTATTGCAAACAGTCTGAAGTTTGGTGTAAGAAAGTTCACTCTGAAGAATTCAATGAATGGTATAAAAATGATCAAGAAAGTTGCTGCACGAATCATTCAAGGTCTTCTGGAAAAATGGATGTTGATGCAATAATCGAAATGTTTAAGCGTGCGATGGAAAAATTCGGTGTGCAGTACAAAAATTACATCGACGACAGAGACTCCAAAACTTAGTCGGGGATGTTCACAGTTGCACCATACGGTGATATAGAAATTATCAAAAGAGAATGCATTGGGCACATGTGGGAGAGAATGGGTACGCGACTTCGAAATTGCGTTAAAAAAATGTCGAAATCGTCGAAAAAAGTGGAAAAACCAGACAAAAAATAACTCTATGTCGCAAAGACAAGCTCACTGTTAAAATGATAGACAAATTAATAATTTACTACGGCTTAGCAATAGGAAGAAATTGTGATTCCGTAGAGAACATGCGTAATGCAATATGGGCTACATACTATCATTATTATTCATCGGACGAAAATCCGGAATACGAGAAGTGCCCAATCGAACCGGAATCATGGTGCTCTTGGCATCGGGCAGCAGCTGCGAATGCATTGTCCACATTCGAACACGAATATCAACTATTGCCACAGGATGTTGCTGAGACTGTGCATCCAATTTATATCGATCTGAGCAATGAAAAATTATTAGAGAGATGTGTGGGTGATTTCACACAGAACAATAATGACAGCTACAATCAGCTCATTTGGAAAATTACTCCAAAAATCGTTCCCTGTGGCGCAAAAATAGTGGAACTAACTGCAAACGTCGGTGCCGCTATATTCAATGAAGACACAGCATCATTGTTATTCTACATGAGTGCTATGAGACTTTGGTTGGGGCCGAATGCACATTCATATGCCCGAAAAGAGGATCCGAAGTGTATCAAAATAGCTGACCGGATAACGCATGAGAACACACGAGAGGGAAAGATTGGCCCGAAGGCAACACCAAATCGGCATATTAGTGTTACGTCCGACACGTCTGATCCCGAAAGAAAGTACGTGGAGGGTGAACTTCCTTATTTATTTTAGGATTCTTACCACTTTAAAATGCTTACTCACACCCAGCTGTTTCCTGTTGCTCTTTCCGTGGATACGGAGCGGTGATCGAAACCGTATTTCTTATGTAAGTGGTGAGAGCAAATTAGGTACTTTAGAAATGATTTGAGTAACGCCAATGTACGTTAAGAAATACGTGATATCTATTATGATAGGATGCAAGTGTTTGACAATTAAGTATACATGCACTGGGTGAGACTATGCTGTGTCTCGAGTTCGATTTCAATAACATGCGATAAACGCTCCGCAATTCGTGTCGTGTTCGTATGGGTGTTGGATTTGTGTTGTTTGTGCTACAATAATTGAGTGGAAATTTTGTAATTGTGTCTGATATTTCTATCGTAGTAGTAATAGTCATAATATATGTGGTAGTATTGTTAAAAATAATAGTAGCGTAATGTGCTCACCAGTGATGGTAAGAGAGAGACATGATTGGTTGCTGAGATGAGTTCCCTAAGAAAACGGTAAATAATTCAAATTTTCAAGAAACTGGTCCTTGTCCTGGCCGCTAGGGTAAGCACTAGCACTCCTGTAGTGGATGGTGTACACAAGGACACTGAGTTCAAAATGGGTAGAATTTGTCGTAATTCACTGGTTGGTTTTACTGCTCGGCCTTAAGGCGAGAAAGACAAGATAGACCTAGAGGCTAACACAACAGATTTGCACTAAATTCGCCTTTGACTCAAAATCTTATGAGAGCTAAAATATAACTTGTTGAGATGAGACTCCTAGGTAGACTGATTATTTCGCTGCTCAATTCCAGCTCGAGGAGCGTCTGGACCCAGAGAAGGGATGAAAACTGCTGATTCGGAGCATTCTGGAATCGTGGGACCACCGCGGATTGCTCTTGGTTCCCGCGGTCCTGCCACGTTATCGGCACGTACTTTGGGGTTCATGATCCCGAAGTTCTCTGGTTCTTGCAAAGCTAAGCGTCTCTCTCTCTCTCTCTTACACCAACTGGTGAGCTCCTGTGGGAACATACCGTACGTGGACTGTTCCCATAGACTTACAATGCCATGATTATTAATATCTTATTTCTAACTTATACTATGGAGGAGCTAGGTGCGCGTAAGACCCGATTACGTTCCACAATGTTGCTCGCAAAAGAATAGGGCACGGGATGTTTGGTGAAATTTTTGGGGGTCTAGTTGCATCAGACGTAACATTAAAAGCTGCCGAAGGAATGGAGGATACATTGTATGGCCTTGGAACAGCCGACTCAATGTAAGTTGAATAAAAAAATTTACTAAGTGTAAAATGCTCTTTTAACTTCAAATGCGTTTTTCTCAAAACTATATTTTTAAAGTCGGTGTGCACGACTTCTCGGAAACGCCTGAACTGATCGATCTCAGATTTGTACACTAGCTTTTTAAATATATTCTTTAAGGATTAATCCATGGTTTTTGCTTACCGATAACTATTTTCCATTTTATAAACAATTTAAGGCCAATATTATGATCGAAAATCAAAACTCTTTTTTTTTTTTAAAGCCGCCGTTTTCTTTAAATTAATAAGTTGCTTATTCCTTCGATTAATTATGAGATAATACGTTATATTAACGAAATCTTTTTGGTTTTTTCATTTCAGATGATCCAGGCACGAGGCACACCGCCGAAAAACTTTTTTTAGAGAAGCGCTACGAGATGTACTATAGTAGCCTTAAAATCATTATTTTTAAAAATAAAATATATTACAATAAAGTTGAAACGTGTTTCTATATGCATACAAATTTTGAAGTCAATAAATTAGAAAGGCTGTTACGTCCGCGTGGAAAATCAGATTCTAGGTACGTGGTCTATGACTGAGCATCGGAAGACTAAACAGTGAGGTCTGGTTTTTATCACATAGTGACCCTAGGAAATGGTTATCTAGCATATGGGTTCTAGGTCTATGAAACATCCCCCAAAAAAGACTTACGTGTAAAACACTACGCCAAGTACAGGAGTGCTGTGTATTCCTCTAATAAAAAGTATTGATATCACATTATTGAGGCCAAGTACATAAGTCACTACATGTTTGCCTATTATATGATCTAGCACTGACCCATCACTTTAATTGTATTTTCAAAATTTCTTATAACGTTTTCACTACTCTTTTACATTACTACTGCTTCCCGTAGTTGATTATGATTTAATGGTCATATAATAATTAATAAAACTTTAGGTGATTCCTTATCGAGTACTACTTGGCGGGTTCGTGCATTTCTTGACATAAATTTGTGTTCATTATTCCAGTGATCAAACTCAAAACCAATGTCAACTTTTTATATACAGCTTAATGACAATAACTCGTCAGAAATAATCACGGTAAAAGCTTAATAACAAACATATAGTTTTAGGATACTATTAGTACGTTCAAAGTAAGTACTTTGGAATTCCTGGCACGGACCCGCCAAGTAGTACTCGATAAGGAATCACCTAAAGTTTTATTAATTCTTAAATGACCATTAAATCGTAATTAACTACGGGAAGCAGTAGTAATGTAAAAGAGTAGTGAAAACGTTATAAGAAATTTTGAAAATACAATTAAAGTGATGGGTCAGTGCTAGATCATATAATAGGCAAACATGTAGTGACTTATGTACTTGGCCTCAATAATGTGATATTGTTATATTCCAAAGCGGATCTACCTAAGTAAATGCAATCGGTAAATTCTTTTCGGTACATCGAACTTTTCGATTGCCTCATGCAATTCCTGGAACGCTGAGTAGCAGGCCACGCGCTCACACTACATGCCAGCGCTAGGAATGATGCAAGACTCTTTCTGCAAGATCATCAATATTGCGGTGCATTATCCCCAAAATTGGAGCTAAGGCACCTACAGTATTCGGAACCAATAAGCAGTCTTTCGCGAATCCTGGCAACAGACGGAACTCCTCTAGGAATCACCGTCTAAATCATCGAGTCTTGCTTGTTCCTCCGCTGATAGTATTTTACGTGTCTTCGGATCCTTGTGACCAAGCCTTCCCACCCGAGGGCCAGGGAAGTCATCGCGGTGAGCGTTCTAGTAAATCTATCGCGAGTGTAACAACAGGCGACGGATTGCCACAGAAAGAACTCAGTGAAGTGAAACATCAACTCTTTTAAACCTACCAACCACTGTAAGTCAATCTATTTTACCTACAATAAAACATCCACTTGTATACCTATACGTCGCTCTCATTCGTTGGCATTACATCTCCCACTTCCACAGGAAACAGATACGCCTAGCGTTAAATGGTAGCCCATAATTAGATATATCTACGCCTTAGCAGTTTCACTAGCTAAGGCTTAACAAATTGGTGGCAGCGGTGGGATGCCATAACTGTTTTCTGCTCAATTCATATATAACTAAAAATGCCAGACGATACTACACACCCTGGCAACCTAACTAACCCTCTCGACAGTTCGGCATATCTGGACTATTTAGCAACTAAAGATGCCATTGACAAAATACCGAAATACGATGGCAAAAATTATAGATTCGGGGATTTTGATACCGAAATTAAACTGCCTTACAGCAGGGCTTACCCGCCGGAGCTGAGACAAGGCTTATCAATAGAATTCTTGGCCGCCTACGGGGACGGGCTAAAACCCATGTAGAAGCCAAATCTTTCGTCACAGTCAAATCCCTTATGAAA